TGTTCCTCCAGCTCCACATTGTATTGACTCTGACTCCAGCATCTGCAGTTCTCGCTACCTCTGAGGGGTTCATTGGAATATGTTTGTTTGCAGGCAAAGGGACCTCTGGCAACTTTTACAAGTGTGACAGCTAGAGTTCAAGGTCTATATGTTCCTGTGAGGGTGAAGGTCAAGGTTGCAGGAGTACCGAACCCTGGATGACAAGAGATATTGAGGCTTTGACCAGAAAAAAAAAAGAGAGACGTGGCTCAGGAACAGGCAGGATCAAGCGATCAAGGGAATCCCTGGGAGGTATATAAGGGATACTGGAGTTTACTGAAGAAGGAAATCAGGAGGGCAAAAAAAAAAAAAGGGGGCACAAGATAGTTTTGGCTGAGAACATTAAAAGAATCTCTTTGGATTCACCCTGAAGGAAAAAGAATAGCTAGAGAGAGAAGAGGACACTTCAAGGACCAAAGTGGACATGTATGTGTGGAACTGGAGGAGATGAATGAGATCCTCAATGAATAATTCTCCTCTGTGCTTATTGTGGAGAAAGACAAGAAGACTTGGGAACTTGGGGAAGTTAGTGGCAATATCTTGGGGACAATCCATATCAGAGTCGATGAGGTATTGGAAGTATTAGAATGTATAAAGATGGATAAATCTCCTGGTCCTGATCAGATGTCCAAGAACCCCACAAGAAGCTAGAGAAGAAATTAGGGGGGCCCCAACTGATATATTTGCATCATTGTTAGCCACAGGTGAGGTCCCAGAAGACTGGAGGGTAGCGAATGTTGTGCAAGAAAGGCTGCAAACAGAAACCTGGAAATTACAAACCAGTAAGCCTAACATCTGTGATAGGTAAGTTATTTGAGAAGATTCTAAGGAATAAGATAGACATGCATTTGGAAAGACAGGGTTTGATTAGGAGTAGCCAGCATGGCTTTATGCATGGGAGATCATGCCTCACAAATTTGTTCTTTGATGAAGTGACCAGGAAGGTTGATGAGGGCAGGGCAGTAGACCTAGTCTATATGGATTTCAGTAAGGCCTTTGATAAATTTCCACATGGAGGGCTGCTCTGGAAGGTTAGATTGCAAGGAATCCAGGGAGAGCCGGCAAATTGGCTTGATGGTAGGAAGCAGTGAATAATAGTGGAAGCATGCTTGTTGGACTGGAAGCCTGTGACTAGTGGTGTGCCACATAGGTCAATTCTGGATCCATTGCTGTTTGTATTCAGCATGATTAGTAAGTTTGCAGATGACACTGAAATAGGCGGCATCGTGGACAGTGAGGAAGGTTACCAGAAATTGCAGCAGGATTTTGATCAGCTGGGGAAGTGGGCCGAGAAATGGCAAATGGAGTTTAATATAGATAAGTGTGATGTGTTGCATTTTGGAAAATCAAATCAAGGTAGGAGTTTTGTGGTGACTGCTAGGGTCTTAAGGTATGGAACAGAGGGACCTTGGAGTTTAGGTGCACGGTTCTCTGAAAGTGGAGTCACAGGTAGACAGGGCGGTGAAGGCGGCTTTTGGCACACTGGCCTTCATCAGTCAGGGCATTGAGTATAGAAGTTGGGAAGTTATGTTGCAGTTGTACAGGACTTTGGTGAGGTTGCACTTGGAGTACGGTGTTCAGTGTTGGTTACCTTGCTATAGGAAGAATGTTATTAAACCAGAAAAAAAAAAAAAAAAAATGTGAATAAGAAGTTTACGAGGATGCTGCCACAACTCACTGGACTGAGTTACAGGGAGATGTTGGACAACTTAGGACATTTTTCTTTAGAGTGTAGGAGACTGAGGCAGGATCTTAAAGAAGTGTGTAAGATCATGAGGGGCACTCAGTCTTTTTCCAAGGGTTGGAGAATCAAGAACTAGAGGGCATCAGTTTAGGGTAAGAGGGGAACGAATACATGGGAACCTGAGGGGAAACCTTTTTACACAGTGGGTGGTACATATATGGAATGAGCTACCAGTGGAAATGGTTGAGGCGGGTAAACTGACAACATTTAAAAGGCATTTGGACAAATACATGGATAGGAAAGGTTTAGAACAATATAGGCCAAGTGCAGGGAAATGGGGTTAGCGTGGATAGACATTTTGGCCGGCATGGACTAATTTGGGTAAAGGGCCTGTCTCTGTGCTGTAGGACTCTATGACAACCATTTATGCTGAGGCTGTGACTTTTGGTCCGAGATTCTCACAAGGGAAACATCCTCTCAGCAGTTACCCTATCAAGCCCCTTAAGAATCCTTTGGTTTCATTGAGATCACCTCTCATTCTTCTAAACTCCAGTGAATAGACCTGTTTAGCCTTTGGTCAAAAGACAATCCCTCCATACAAGGGATAATACGTTACTTCTCTGCAAGGAGAGATAGATCTTTTTTAGGGTCTGGAGCCTTTCTGCCACTGCCTATACATACACAGGTTATCCACCTGCCCAGGAGCCAATCATAGAGTTGCTGTCATACTAATAACTCCTGCCCTACACAACTGGTGCTCCTGATTGATAACCTGACTCAAATAGCTGTTTCTGGGCAAAACTGCCCCTGAACACACATCCACGGTGCTGATCAATCTCCAGTGTTTTCCGCCACTGCTTGAACAAAGCAACTTGCGACTATGACTCAGAATGTGGTCCGATAACTTATTCTTAAACTATAAGATTACCTTCCACAGTTTCCTTAGTTTAAAGCAGTATCATTTTCCCATGTTGACCACAATCCGAATAAAGAAAAATAAAAAGATGTGGTATTTACCCATCATACAACAAACCTGTCAAACAGTAACTTATTCAAAGGTGAGACTCCAAAGTTACAAATAGATCTGGTGACCTGTCAGATAATTCCCAATAGTATTCAGCATTCTATTTGCAAAAGAAAACCACTGCAAAATCTGAACCATCAATAAATGATCCTGGAAATGCTCAATGGGTCTAGCAACATCTGTGAAGAGACAAACAGCTAAAATTTCCAGTTAATCCACATGTAAGGACTTTTTGGTCTTTGAACAAGACCATAGTAAAAACCTTGGGTAGAATAGGTTCCCTTAAACGATCGATACTAAGGCATTGAAAGGGTGGAGAGGAGTGAGGAGTGCCACAAGATCAATTTACAGTTTAAAATATCATAATTTCTCAGATGTGCTCAAATAGCTGGATCTTTAGTAATGCAAACATAGGAGTGATTTGATCAATGTTTGTAAAATAATTAAAGGGACTTTAAATATGGTTTACGGTGTACTGATTGTTCCAACTGCTTTGGTTAGTGAGGGCCAGAGGTCATGGATTACAAGTTATCTAAGAGTAGAACCAGATGTACATTGCTGGTTCTTCTTATCCATAAGAATAAAGTGCTTGGTGAACCTCTTGCAAGATCAGGAGATGGATGAAAATTTGCAGATTTCCTTCAAGTAGGCACTGGACCTCTTTCTGGTGACAGAGATCTTGTGCTTTGTGTCCAAGACACAAATAAGTAAGTGAGTCAGGGCCAGTCTAATATCTTAAACCAATTATGATACCTAAGGTGATTAGAGAAAAATGTCTGTACCTTTCTCCTCCAATTGCTCTGGGATTTTATTTGCTTTTATCTCTCTCAGGAGATTATGTGGCTTTTTGTGTGTGGGTGTGGAAAAACAACAACGTAGGACATGCCGACTGGAGGAGCAGGCGTTTTCCTGTCCACATTTTTACAAATAAAAAAAAGTGAGGAAGAGACCATAGAGACTAAAATTAATTGATTTAAACATAACTGCCGATTTCTGTTCGGTGAAGCATTTAAAGTTAATAAACCTTCAAGCATTCATTCTACTTGATTATATTCTCATTGACCTGGTGTCTTCTCTCAGATTCATAACCTCACTTTTTATCACTACTTTGTAGTGAATTTAGTATTAGAGAAGGTTGGTATTTTCTGCTGAAAATCAGTTTTGCTAAAAGGTGATCGACATGAAAAAAAAATAACTTTTTGTCCCACAGATGCTACATCATGTACTTAGAGTTTACAACATATCATGATTTCACTTCCAACATCTGCAATATTTTATTTTTGCGTTTGTTCCCTGGATTTAATTTTATTTTGCAATCAGTCTCAAGTCTGGATTCATTTGACAAATCAGAAACTGGTCTTATCACACTCTCAAGTCATTGACCCATTGAACCAAGACCACTCACTCAGAATTAAATAATTCACTTTGTGCCTTCAACTTGAATTTGATTTTAATGTTTTTTGGGATCATGTCACCATCACTTGGTATGATCTTTCCATGCTGCAAATCTGGCCACCAGACTTAAGGGGTTATGCATTTTGCTTAGAATTTGGCTCAGCATTTTAAGGACTTTGGGTTTCTTCTTTAACTATTTTGTTGCATACTTTTATGAATGTATCTGAAAGATATACTTTTCCATGCTTTTGTAGTTTGAAGATTTTGTACATGAGGTTTTCCCACATGCATGCCATGTCTGGTATTAGCACTAATAGGCATGTTAAAGCCATTTTCAAGAACCAAAGGCAGTTACAAGGTAACTATACTTGGCATAACAAATCATGATAACATCAGGTTTCATGTGAAAAATAGCTAAATTTGTAATGTCACTGAGTAGCAATACAATGGGATTTCCCATTAATTCTGGGCCCAATTCATTCCCTGAAAAGAAACATGAAACAATTTAGTTGCCATACTTTATTGAAAAATAAACTAGTAAATGATATTTTGTGCAGCTCAATGGACTGCCTTCTTTTACACTTGAAGGAAAAGTACTTATTTTAATGAATCAATACCACTTGAAGATGTAAGATTCATAATCATTACAACTATAGGAAGGATGTCAATCCAGTACCTTATTGTATAATGGTGTAAATGTCTCAACTGTACAATTTTGAACAATATTTCATCTAATACAACACAGAATACTATCAATTCATGATCTTCTAAATTCTTTTAGAACTAAAAAAAAAATTAACTTTAGCACAGAAAAACTGCATTGAACGAACAATAAATAAAACATAATGCAAGAAATACCTTATGTCGCAAACGCACTAAAGGCAGATAATGTTTTGGATCATATCCTTCTTTAGTCGGCCATCCCTCTGCATTCAGTAAGATATTGCTAAGTAATAAAAATACTGACCACGAGTCTGGTGTCATCATTGATCTATGGCTGAAAGAGACAAGATAATTTAAAAAAAAACAATAATTTAACACAAACACTTGTACAAGAGTCAGTTATGAAGTGAATACCTATCATAAATAGAGGCGTTGATTGTAAAAGCCAGGAAACTGTGCTTAAACCTTTAAAGGACGATATGACAGTTCTTGAGAGGATGCAGAGATTTCCCAGAATGGACTGGGATTTCAGCTTGTTAAAATCCTGTACTAAACCATCACCTTCCTTTCCTGAGTCTATGCCCCGAAGGTTTAGAAATTGTACTCCAGTACTTATTCACAAGCATTACACCAGCTTTTAACTGACAGCAGCCTTACCAAGCCATTTCTGCTTCAGGAACCCTCTCCTTCCTCCCATACGCCACTTCTGCCCTGACCCACCAAGCTCCAGTCTTGCTCAGCTACATTAAGAAATACTGCTTGTGAGTTTTCAACCATCACTCTCTCAGCAGCAGCGAAGCATTAATGCTTGCAGGCTTATTGCAAGTTCCTCACATCTTACCCTAGCAGGCAGCCATTGACCTTCCCATTTTCTCAGCTTTGCAAGACATCTTCTGCATCCTGACTGCAATGCTTAACTGTCTACAATTCATTGAACTCTTTCCCAAGTTCTAACAGCTGAGTCAATCAGCTTCTCTTGGCTCCTCTCTCCTACACAGAATCTGTTCACGCCTCCACTGCAGTACAGCTAAGTGCAGCACTCCCAACATGGAATCTATTTTTTGCTATCTCCCTCTCACACTGTCACAAATCCTCACTCACTGCCTCTAACTTCAGGCTCCTTTTTCAGTGACCGCCAAACTTTCCTGAGTAACCCATCAAAAACCTTACCGTTAGCCAATTATTACAATAACTGTTGGGTAGAATTGCATATTACTAATGTTTTGAAACAGTCAAATGTAGCACTGTTGAGCCTACTGTATGCCAAAGGCACAGCAGGAAATGGACGATATCACAAGCCACAGAAAAAAGTTGAGCTGGTATTGTTCTTCTTGGGCCAAAGGATCGCAAGAAACTTAATACAGGTTTAGCAGATTATGACAGGATTAGATAAAAGAAAGTTGTTCAAGAATCGATGGTACAAGGACTAGGGTAAACACAGGAAGAGGAGTAGGCCATTCAGTCCCTCAAGAGTGCTCTACCACTCAAAGAGATCATGGCAGATTTGTGGCCTAACATCACATACCTGCCTTTGGCCCATAACCCTTAATACCGTTACTTAAAAAAAAAACTCAAATTTAGAATTAGCAACTGATCCAGCATCAACTTCTGTTTGTGGAAGAGAGTTCCACAACCTACCAACCTTTGTGTGTAGAAGCGCTTACTCATCTCTCCTTCTTCCCCAAAACCCCAACACATGGAAGTAATTTACATCACGTTTGTGGTTCACTAGAACATGGTGGACAGAGGGTAAACTTAAACAAATATTTTATTGTGCATCCTCTCAGCTTTTAACTGTCTCTCCTAGCTCCCACCTCTGGGTCACCTGACCCACTCCCTTAAAGGAGCAATATGTACCCAACAACACATAACACTCTTCCCTTTCTCTTTATTTCAATACCCCCCCTTAAAAATTATAACTATTAGACAGGCATTATAACTAACATATATCAGGAATATTTACAAAAAAAGGAAGTGAAAATAATCCTTCCGTGGTCTATATGAACACGATCAGTCTCTTAGGAGGATGGCAATTCATAGAAGACATTCATCTCATCTCAGGAACCTTTTCCAGTGCAGTCTCTTGGGCTTCCAGAAGTTCCTGTTGTTCCGCAGATACAGCTGTCTCCGATTGAGGTCCCGGAGGACTGGAGAATTGCTAATGTTGTCCCCTTGTTTAAGAAGGGTAGCAAGGATAATCCAGGTAATTATAGACCAGTGAGCTTGATGTCAGTGGTAGGGAAGCTGCTGGAGAAGATACTGAGGGATAGGGTCTATTTACATTTGGAAGAAAATGGGCTTATTAGTGATAGGCAGCATGGTTTAGTCCAGGGAAGGTCATGTCTTACCAACTTGATAGAATTCTTTAAGGAAGTGACAAAGTTGATAGATGAGGGAAAGGCTGTAGATGTCATATACATGGACTTCAGTAAGGCGTTTAATAAGGTTTCCCATGGTAGGCTGATGGAGAAAAGTGAAGTCACATGGGGTCCAGGGTGTACTAGCTAGATGGATAGAGAACTGGCTGGGCAACAGGAGACAGAGGTTGTAGTGGAAGGGAGTTTCTCAAGATGGAGAACTGTGACCAGTGGTGTTCCACAGGGATCTATATTGGGACCACTGTTGTTTGTGATATACATAAAATGATCTGGTGGAAGGTATAGATGGTCCGATTAGCAAGTTTGCAGATGACACTAAGATTGGTGGAGTAGCAGATAGTGAAGGGGACTGTCAGAGAATGCAGCAGAATATAGATAGATTGGAGAGTTGGGCGGAAAAATGGCAGATGGAGTTCAATCCAGGCAAATGCGAGGTGATGCATTTTGGAAGAGCACACTATGTGGTAAATGGAAAAGCCCTGGGGAAAATTGATGCACAGAGATCTGGGTGTTCAGGTCCATTGTACCCTGAAGGTGGCAATGCAGGTGGATAGAGTGGTCAAGAAGGCCTATGGCATGCCTTCATTCATCAGACAGGGTTTTGAGTACAAGAGTTGGCAGGTCATGTTACAGTTGTATAGGACTTTGGTTCGACCACATTTGGAATACTGCGTACAGTTCTGGTTGCCACATTCCAAAGCATCCCGCATCCTTTTGGTAAAGGGTGCAGAGGAGGTTCACCAGGATGTTGCCTGGTATGGAGGGTGCTAGCTATGAAGACAGGTTGAGTAGATTAGGATTATTTACATTAGAAAGACAGAGGTTGAGGAGGGAACCTGATTGAGGTCTACTAAATCATGAGAGATATAGACAGGGTGGATAGCAAGAAGCTTTTCTCCCCCCGCCACCCGGACTAGGGGACTCAATTACTAGGGGGGTCACGATTTCAAGGAGAGAGGGGAAAAGTTTAAGGAAGATATGCATGGAAAGTTCTTTACGCAGAGGGTATTGGGTGCCTGGAACATGTTGCCAGCAGCGGTGGTAGAGGCAGGCACGATAGTGTCATTTAAGATTTATCTAGACAGATAAATGAATGGGCAGGGAGCAGAGGGATACAGAAAATTACAGCACAGGAACAGGCTCTTTGTTCTTTAATTGGCTGTTGTTGCCCTGTGACACTGCCATTGTCTCCTCCCTGGGTATGGTCAACCCTGGCTTGGAGATACGACATGGTCGATACCACTTGCATAATCTGAACTGGCTCAGAGTCGGAGGATCATCCCCCTGTTGGTGAGGATTGGCAAAAAAAAGTTAGTTTTTATGTCTCCTCCAGACCAGATTATCCCTAGTCTGCATCATATGACAATAATCCTGTTTGATCCATCACCACCCCAGTATCCAATTTTCCAGAGGTATGCTTCCAGGCCAACATAGTCTCATCCTTGGGATACTCTTGGCCTGGAGTTTCCTGCCCTTCTGACTATATGTGCTTCTTCATTTTGGTCTACCACCATTCCCGTCTCTTGAGTCTCAGCTGCCAACTGAACGTTAAGGATGCTGGTGAGCATTGGCCCACCTGGTGTGGCATGTTCCTGTACGTGCTGAGGAGCGTATTGAGTACCCTCCCTTTGGAGGTCTTTAGGGCCTGCTTCAAGTTTGTACAAATCTGTGGGCCATTTGTCACAGGAAGATAAAGAGCCAATCGCACATGTCTGACTGATTTTCTAGGTATTCTTTGAACTCTTGCTACATACCAGGGAAGTGAGGGACTACTGTCACTCATGACTGGTTTGGGGTTTCTGAACTCAGCAAATATTTCATTGAGTCGGTCTGTTGTTGCCTCCATTGATACCAATTTCATGACTGCTGTGGTGATTGAGCCCATTTCCATTGGTGTAGGGGGAAAACCAACAAGGAGCAGGATTCGCATGATCCCACTTTCTCCTCAATCAGGAAGTCCACCTTCAGCCACCAAATGGTTCCCAACTACTTCCTTTGTTTGCACCATGTCTTGGTGCACATATTCCAGTATCTTTCCTCTTAATAGGGGAAGGATAACAACTGTCATTCCCTGCATTAAACACTCATCTGACAAGGACAACTCCCACCTCCTAGAAAGGTAAGGATGTAATTCTGAGTGGTTTCTATAACAAGTCCATCTTTAGGCTCAAGACTGGATCATTCCAGATAGCATTCTGTACCTTACTCATTGACACCAATACCTTGTCTTCCTGGAAAAGTAGGTAAATTGTCAAGTTCCAGTTGGGAACATCCTTAATTTCTGGTAGTGGTAACATTAAAACATCTACATTGCCATGCTTCTCCAACTGTTGGTATCTGACTTCATATGTGTAGACTGACAAAGCCAGTACCCATCTCTGCAGACATGCTGCCACCATTGACAGTATTCTTGTATATGGGTAGAAAATGAAGGTTAGCGGCCTATGGTTTGTCAGCAACAAAGTGCCTGCCAGAAAACAAGCAGGTGAGCTTCTTAATAGTGGACATGCCCAACAGTTCCTTTTCCATTTGGGGTATATTTCCTCCTGTCTTTGTTAGTGACCTCTATGCAGCATCAACTCTATAAAAAAGTTAAGGCATCAAACACCAACTGCATTAGAACCTCAGGTTGAAAGGAGTAAACACTTCTGAACTTTATATGGCATGTTTCATCTCCTGGTAAGCCTCCTCACAATCCTGGGTCCACTTCCAGGGTTGCACTTCTCCTAGCAACCACGCAGGGGTTTTAGCACAGTTGCCAGATCAGACACAAACTTACCATTGTAAGTAACATGTCCCAAGGATGACCTCAGCTGATATAAGTTTGCTGGTCCAGGGTCCTTCATGTAGGCCTCCATCTTTTTAGGTGCCTTATGTAGTCCCTCACCAATCAATTAGATGTACTCTATGCTATGGAGTCTTTTAAAAGCTTGCATTTTTCTCTTTTAAGCTTGTG